GGCGATTATTTGCTTGCGCCAGGCTCAGGTAGAAGTCCCGAACATTTTAAGTGAATTGAAAAAAATTTCTACTAAGTTATTAAATTCGTTTACTTAAAGATAATTTCACAAAAAAAATATTTTAATAAGTATTTATTATTTTTAATTATGTTACATGATAATAGTCGAAACATTTTTCAATAACAAAATACTAATATTTTTTAATTATTTTAAAGAATTCATTTTTGTGTGGCGAAATACAAAATTTGAGCGAAATCGGTCAAGTAAGCCACTATTAGGCGAAAATACGTTTTGTGTCTGATTTCGCAATTTAAAATGTCGTCTGCTCTAACTAGTTAGCATATTTGTATCGCTTGAAGTTCTCGAAACATTGAGTCCAAATAGATGGAAATCCAATCACTAGATCAAAATTTATTCACGGCGTTTCATTTTTTTTTTGTGCAGTGAAAACGTCTTATTTTATTTTGCAATTTATATTAGTGTTTGGAGCACTTCTTGATTTATGAAATTTTTCTTGCAGTTTGCTGCTTACGGCTGGTTTAATAACTTCAACTGGATATGCGAACCTATGGATTTTTCGAATGATGATGCTGCTGTCAAAGTTGGTGATTTTAATATATTTTAGAAACTCAAGATATGTGTGGGGAATTAAGTTTAGATTATGTCAACCTTCATTTATCAAAAGGTACCTCATGATAGAATCAAGTTAACATGTCTTATATACTAGTGAATTGGTATTTAGTATTTATAGTGGTAGTTACGCCACATTACTCCCCTTCCAGAATTTTATCTGTGATGGAATTCGATGAACAGATACCACTAGTTGATTAATGCTGTTTATTTATTAAATTCAATTTTTGCTCATTAAATTTTATTTTTTTCTTCCAAGCATTTCGCTCGTTATTTTTTTATTTTTTTTTATAGCTTTTTCGCTATTTTTTCCCATCATTTTTTTTATAGTTTTTCGCTATTATTATTTTTTTCTAGCATTATTCTTTTTATTATTAAAGTATAATTACAGAGTTGAGGGTGATTTTAATATAAATATGAATGCTGAAGAAGGAAAAGTATTTCATGACGTCTTGAAACACGTACTACATAGGCAGGATATGAAAATCAATCCGACGACAAACATCAATGGAGACAGTTTTTGCGACCCATGATATTGAAATGTTTAACGGAATCAATCCAGAAAGAAAAAGCATTTGACCAATGGGTAACAAGCGATCGTCATAAGGCAATCACAACTTTTTTGTTGATTTTCTTTTCTTTTTTTTTTTAAAGTATAACCTAGTAGAAAAATGCCCCGAATAGCTGTGTTGAAACACATATCAACTAGGCTTGTTTTTAGTTCAGTGCCTGGAAAATTGTTCCAAACTGGTTTAAACTCCATTTAGTAAGCTGATTTTAAAAATAAAACAAATTTTCTCTTTGAGCTTCAAAGCTGCAAGATACGCGATGAAAATTTGAGATCCAAGTAGGGGAGAGTCGGGTTGCCCCGCCCACTGTCAATTTCATATGTATAGAATATTTTTTCAAGTCAATGGGCCATTCAACATTAATTGTTACATTAAAAAAAGTTTATTTTCAAAGTTTCAAGCATTTATGCAGCTGTTAACGTGGTAAACAATAGTTTTGAAAATATGTTGAATACAGTAGTTATGAGATTAAGAAAAATTGGTTGAATGTTTCGATTAAACTTCATTTTAATACTAAAATAATAATTTTTTCTATACGTACAGCATTAAAGTATGCAGTCTTAAGTTTAATTTGCGCAAAGAAAGAAGCCAATATGTGAAAAATTCGAGTAATTACAAATTTACAAAAAAATTGGATTTCGGGTAGCCCCGCTCACATGAATGTCGGGTATCACCGCCCAATTTTATTTCGTCGATAAATCTACGGTTGCAAAGATTATTATTTTATTGCTTCAAATTTGAATGTTATATGCATTTTTAACAACAAATATATGTTTTAATATTATATGAAACATAAATTTATATATTTAAAAATGAAAAATTAAATATTTTTAAAATGTAATTGATATATCCAAATTAAATTTAATATCAGGAAATCATAAATATTATGATAAGCTATTTGTTTACTTATTTCACTTATTTGTGAACGAATCAATCTACAGAAGCATTTGAATGCAATCAAAATACAAAGTGAATTTGTAATTTTATAAGAAGTATTTTATATTAAGTTTATAAGAAGAGATCAACCAAATAAGTTTATATTGAAAAACAACTATTGTTATTAATTATTGTTACTTAAATTAAATTATTTTCGTTAAATATTTAATATAAATATATATTAATATTATAATATATTAATATACATTAATAATGATAAAAAGTATGACATTTGTTGTTATTAAATGATAGAATTCACTAAAAGTATATAAATATGTAATAAATAAAATAATTTTGTGATAAAAATGATAAACGAGGTTTACCTATTGTCAATACATTGGTCGATTTCATTTACACCTGTAAAAATAGTCAGAAAACATAATTTTTGTAACTGAGCGGGGCTACCCGACACATTTTGAAAAGAATTGAAAAACATGTTTTATTAAATTTCTATTTAAGTAAAACTATTCTTTTTTCGGTTTATTCTTTTTGTATTATTTAATTAGATGATAAAACAATAGAAACATAAAAAAATGTTGATTATTACTCAATATTATATTCAGAAATGTAAGCAATACTTCTTAAGTGAGCGGGGCTACCCGACTCTCCCCTATAATTTTTTGATCGGTTGAAATAACTTATAGTTTTTTATTAAAATTATTTTAAATTTATTTTGAAAATCTTTCGAAACGCACACTTGGGAAATAAAAAGAAATTATTCTAACCGGAATGGAACATTTATTAATATGTGTTTCTTCCAGAAGTTTTATTCCAATTTATCTGACTTCTCCTAGTTGACATTTATATCTTTTATCCACATGTTGATTTTTAAAACTACAGCAAAGTTTGATGCGCTTCTCTTAAATGCTTGATAATTAATTTTAGAAGTTTAAATTTTCTTTTTTCACATATGTCTGTAAGCAGACGATTTCAGATCATCCATTACTGCGTTGTATATATCGGCTCAGTATTTGAAATATTAAGTTTACGTTCTTGTGGAAAAGTAGTTTACAGATGTGTGTTCCATCTATCAGTTAACATTTGCCCGATATTCGGGTATTGTATACAAAAGTACAGGCATTGTAGACAAAGCCTGCATTTCGTATATTTCAACTTTACATATAAGGAAACTGTATGAGATATTTAATTTACCATTAAAATATTATTATCATTTTTTTAGATGCTTGAAGCGTTTTACGTCTACTATATATCAAAATTCATTGAATTTCTAGACACAGTAAGTATTTCGTCAAATATATTGTCTAAAATTGTCTTGTGTCTCATGAAATGATGTTTTTTCTTCTTTTTTTTGTATTTTTCTTGTTTGTATTTTTATTAAGCTTACATGTAAAAATACTGCATTTTTCTTAAAAAAAAAAANTAAAATTGTCTTGTGTCTCATGAAATGATGTTTTTTCTTCTTTTTTTTGTATTTTTCTTGTTTGTATTTTTATTAAGCTTACATGTAAAAATACTGCATTTTTCCTAAAAAAAAAAACTCTATTTATAGTAAACATTTCTAGTATTTTTTTTTTTTTGTTCTTGTTTACTTTTTAAATTTTTAATATACAGTCCTTGGCCGAATTTGTGACGCACTTTGAGATTCTATATAAACTCTTAATTACCAGGTTCATGAATGGGTGAACCAGGTCTGCAACTATATTCAAGTAGCTTACAGACCTCAGGGATTGTTCTATGAGGATTATGGGTCCTAATGTGCCCCATAAAACATTGTTCCTGGGCGAGAAACCATGAATACTTGAGTGAGCCCAGTGTTATAGATGGAGGGTGGTCATAATGCAATGGCTCTTCTGTGTATATGTTTTAACATTTATCTGTAATCTTTCTGGGACTTTTTGTTTAACTGTTCTTAACAACAATGACTTAATTTGCAGATATTTTTTGTTCTTCGGAAAAAGAATTCTCAAATTACATTTTTGCATCTATTTCATCACGCGATTATGCCAATTACAACTTGGCATTTCGTTAAATATGGTTGTGGTAAGTTGAGTTACTTACTTTCTTTCAAAAAAATAAATTTAAATGTTTTGCGTCATACGCTTTAAGAGTATAATACATTATTTTTAAGTGATTAATGGCGACTCGATAAATTCATGAAAATGCAATTTATTCAATAAAACAGTACTCTTCTCTCGTCCTAACTAGTCCTAGTAGTTCAAACAACATTCATGTTTATAAATTACTTATTTTCAAAAATTCTTGTCATTAGTGCTAAAACATTAACCAATGATCCACGAGTCACGACCAAACACTAGAGGCAGTCTAAATGGAGAGTAGTTAGGAGAATGAAGAGGATGATGTAACATTTCCCATCCAATGTGTGTTTGTCATGGATCAGACTTTTTCTTGTTTTTAGAAAACTGCTCGTTTAGTTTAATTTTTATGCATATATGCATATTTTTTAAAGTATTTACATTGAGCCACGATGGCTCAGGGGATAGAGCGTTTGCCTTTCAATGAGTTGAGCCGGGGCTCGATCCCGGCGAGGGCTGGTCGATACGAATTCCGCATCCGGCTTGCACCGACCACAGTGCTGACGTGAAATATCCTCAGTGGTAGACGGATCATGAGTAAGAGTCCCCTTGCGGCTAGTCTAACTGTGGGAGGTTCTCGTGGTCTTCCTCCCCATATAACACTAATGCGGGTAAGCTCCATCAAGAAGTTCTCCACGAAGGCAAATTTCTCCCAATACTCGATCCAGGAGTTCCCTTGTCTTCTAGATTGGGTTCAAAATTACAAGGCTACGGAGTTGAACAGTAGTAGCCGTTAACCCAAAAATTGGGTCAGCTGTTCAACGATGGTTATAAAATAAAATAAAATAAAAATCTGAATAAAATTTAAAATAAAAGAACAGTAATAATAAAAAAATGTGTGCTCTACGCCTAAGCTGATTTTTGATAAGCATTTCTTTCCATTTTTTTTTCTGTAATTTTATAAAAATCATCTCAGAAAAAACTATGTTATACTATATAAACCAATGCTATACTTATAAATTACAATGTTAACATAAATAACTCATAAGGGTATAGAATTTTATAATAGAAAATGAAAAACAAATTTTTTTTTTGACCTTAAAACATTATTATTATTATTATTTTTAAAAAAAAACTGAAATTTATAGTTAAAAAAATAAGTACCAAAACAATTATATTGTGTAACTAGTGTTTAAAGACGATGATAAAATTAAAAGCTCCCGCCATGATAAATAATTGTAAAAATTCTGTAATATTCATAATTACAACATTATCTTCTTAATTTCAAAACATCACTGCTATATTGCCGTGCAATTGAAAAAAAACAACGTTATTGCTTCACGATTGATTCCGAGATGTACGCTAAAACAAAATTTCAAACGACTAATAAAATAAAACTTATTGAAATTTTTTTATTTTTTGGTATTATGTAGCTTACCATACAAAGATGTCAAATATATAAAAATCTCAATTTCGAATTTTATGTTGCTTACGTTGATTTTTCAATTGCACAGCAGTATAATTCTAAACTAAGAGGCCTACAGCGCAGCTTTCAGGAGAACTCCGCCAGACATCAGTCTCGCGTAGTGGCGGGTGCCATGGTTACGAGGAAAAGTCACTTCGAATAGGGGTGTGGGGTGAATAGTTTTGTCTTGATCTTAGCATAGGTCAACGTGAGTAAACTAATCGACACCTTCATTCCTCCATTGCACCCCCATTTGAAATGAGCTCTTGCTCGTTACCATAGCAACAGACTTTTTGTCTGGAGGAGTTCTCCTCAAAGCCGCACTGTAGTTATAGTACTCTGCTCAAGAAAAACTGATATTGTGTAGAAGCAATAAATTAATACTATCAGAGGAATCTCATGATAGGCAATGTAGATTTTGCGTACAAAGAAAAATATTAAAATCTACCATTGAAAATGTTTTATTTTTCAGGAGGTTATGTAACAGTTTTACCATTAACTAATACTTTTGCACACATTGTGATGTACTCTTATTATCTCTTGTCTTCCCTTGGTCCTTCAGTTCAGAAGTATATCTGGTGGAAAAGACACGTGACAAACGTACAGATGGTATGATATTTTCGGCTGTTCATTCGTTTTTTTATTTTTGGTAATCTTAAGAAGATGCTATACCGTTCAATTAAAAAGGCGTTATAATTGTTCCAACTTGTTTTAAAACGAGCATTTTGTGGGTATACAATCGATGTTTTGCTTTTAAGGATATTTTTTATTTGTAGTTAAAACAAAACATTTTTATTGGATTTACAACATCTTTCTCTTATAATTGCTCTTTTTGATCAGATTATTATTTTTTTTGTCTTATGCCTATTTAGGCAGAGGAGGTGCGATTGTTCTTGTTTTCAGTGGCGCCATCTATGGCCAAGAATTCGATTTCTGCCACACCATTCATTCAACCACAAACCCGCTTATAGGGCGGGTCACATTCACACACATTCACGCACACAAAGGAGAAAGGTCACAGAACACACAGAGAGAAAGAAACATCCATGCCTTGCCCGGGTTTCGAACCCAGAATCTTTCTGATGCAAGGACAGTTCTTTCCCCCCTACACAGTTTGGTCGGCTTTTGATCAGATTAATTACTGAGTAAAGTTTAAGCTCAGAAAAATGTAATTCTTACAAAAAATAAGGTGTTTTTGATGTTGTATTGAGGTTGACCGGTGTAAAAAAAATATACGGCAAAACCCCGACTTTATATATTATTAAGGTAATAGTGAATGTTATAACACATTAAAAAATTGTGTTTAAAATATTTAATTAGAGGAATGAAGATTTCTCATCGTTTTACCATTAATTAATAATCTTTAATTAGGTTTCAAGTCCGATAGTTAAATTTGTTAATTTAAAAATAGTTAAATTTAAAAAGATACTAATACAATATTTTATAAATGCTCTTTCCGTAGTTTATTTAAAGTATTGTTAATAGAAATATTATATCCCTTACAAAAAATAACGTATTTTTGAGGTTGAAAGACGTAAAAAAAATACACATGAGGAAGAAAATCAGGTTATCTTTTGCAAGAAAAATAAACTGGTCCATAAACCTCAATTTCACCCTCAGTTACACCTCATAAAATCACTAAGGTGATCAACCTCAAGTGTGAATGAAACAACTTCATACACCTTGTTTATAAACTCTGAGAGATGATTTTTTAAAAGTTACTTTTGATGTCAACTTCAAATCAAATGTAAATCAGCCTTAACATCCCAAAAGAATCTCAAAACACCTTACATTTTTGTAAAGGAAGTCGCCCATGCTGAATTAAAAGCCAAAAGCTCCGATTTTACAATTTTTTTTTCTCTTTTAGATCCAGTTCATAGTGATAATGGCAGCGACTGGATTGGCGATGATAATACGCCCCGAAAATTGCAATCTGAGATTTTTTACAGCTATATTTGGATTCCTGCACGGACTTGTTTTCTTTTGTCTTTTTACCCCTTTCTACATCAATCAATACATGAAAAAGAAGGAAACGAAGTGAAGTATAACACCTAGGTACAAATTGCAACTTTCTTTTTTAGTGTATAAAAAATTAGAATTGAAATAAAAAGAAATAAATAAAAATATTTATTTATTGTACTTTGAATTGACTCAATCGCAAAACGATTCATATAACACTATGGCTTTATACAAGATTAATCTTAGTTAAAATTTCCAACTGTTACAAATCTGTTACTTAACCTCAAAAGCTTAAAAACTGGTTGTAAAAACATTTCGTATTCTTTTTTTTGTTGTTCATTCAGATCATTTGCTGTTCAGGATTTAAGTAATCATCCGCGAATGCATGTAGTTCCGTTTGTATTCTTTTTTTTCGCCAGAATAGACTATTCTAGAATACGATTTTTACTCCGTTGCAAGTTAAGAAAAGACCATAGCTGTTCAGGATTTAAGTAATCATCAGCGAATGCATATAGTTCCGTACGTATTCTTTTTTTTGTTGTTGTCAGAATAGACTATTCTAGACTACCATCTATACTCCGTTGCAAGTTAAGAAAAGATCATTTGCTGTTCAGGATTTAAGTAATCCTCCGCGACTGTATATAGTTCCGTTCGTATTCTTCTTTTTCTCGCCAGAATAGACTATTCCAGACTAACATTTATACTCCGTTGCAAGTTAAGAAGAGACCATAGCTGTTCACGATTTAAGTAATTATCAGCGAATGCATATAGTTCCATTCGTATTCTTCTTTTTCTCGCCAGAATAGACTATTCTAGACTATCATTTATACTCCGTTGCAAGTTAAGAAGAGACCATAGCTGTTCAGGATTTAAGTAATCATTAGCGAATGCATATAGTTCCGTTCTTATTCTTCTTTTTCTCGCCAGAGTAGACTATTCTAGACTACGATTTTTACTCCGTTGCAAGTTAAGAAAAGACCATAGCTGTTCAGGATTTAAGTAATCATCAGCGAATGCATATAGTTCCGTTCTTATTCTTCTTTTTCTCGCCAGAATAGACTATTCTAGACTACCATTTATACTCCGTTGCAAGTTAAGAAAAGACTATAGCTGTTCAGGATTTAAGTATAATCATCCACGAATGCATATAGTTCCGTTTTATTTCGTTATCAAAACATACAAATATGTTTTTAAAACAATATGAAAGCTTTTAATACTGTAAAACACGTCAGATAGACATTTAATTCGTGCTATCTTCCTCGATATATATCATAGAGTTATTAAAAAAAGATAATAGTTCCGTAGTTTGACTGGTAAATCCTAGACTTGGCGACACATTTCGATAAATAAGGAGAATATTCATTCATGCAAAAGAAACAACATGACGTAACAAGAGCATTGGATTTGATTGGACCACTAAAAATGGCACATCGTATGCTCACATGCCCTTAACAAATCAAATGCGAGATAAAGAGTTTTACTTTTGTTTCGCTGTAGAGTAAAATCATCTGCAAAAAACAATATTTATTATTTTTTCATTCGTTTCTTTAAAAAGCGAACAGAAAGAATATGATGCAACTCTAATTTTACTCGAAACAAAAAAAAAATAATAGTTTTTATCCAATAAGCTTTGTTTTCCTCATTTCACGCGATTTAAGAAAGCAAGCAAAAGAAAACCAACGATGGTGTTGTTGGCGATGTTCGTGATGGGAGTTTGGCATCTATTTGGCATGCACTTAGATGCAAACAGAATTTCTCTAAGGGGATAATGGTTTTCTCTTAGTTTGTAACAGAGTATAATTATCAATAGTTATGATGTACATTAAATTGAAAAACTAACGCTTGTTGCCAAACCAGCTTCAATAAATATTTTTAAAAAAAAGTAATAGGTATAAAAATGATTCTTAGCTCTGTGGGCGTTTTTACATAACAAAAATACGCTTGTTTTTAGGTTGCGTAAATTTAACTAAATTTGTACTAATATTGAATACGTAAATGATACAAAATATCCCGATAGGTGTATATTTATAGGTGTATATAGGTGTATCATCATTTGAAGCTTGGGCCACGTGCTACCTAAAGAACGTGGAAAGACAAGACATCTTTTATTTTAAGACGCATTTTTATAAATTTTCGTCATTGCATTTTTAATTAACATTTAGAATAATACCTTATTTCGAAAGTAATATTAAAAGAATTTATTTTATATTTTTATTTATTAACCTTACTTTTGTTGTCTTATAACTGGTCCCGCAGTGGACTGATCGTTAAGACACGGCTCCCAGCAGATCACCGAAGTCAAGCATCACTGACTGCTGTCAGTGTGCAGGTGGGTGACCACTTGGATCAGTCTGCGTAGAGACCGAGGGTGTGCGGCATTGGTCCTCGTTAAACTGTTCTACCGTAAAGTGCTCGATTTCGCGTGCAGGTCGTCGGGCTACCGAAGTGGGGGTGCCATCCCCTCTGCAGAGGATCAAAATTGTGATGGCATGTCTTCGGATCATCCTCAGGGATGTTTCCCAGACCGTCGCCAATAGCCCATTGTGCAGCTCTAGTGCGACGTAAATGAACAACAACAAGTATTTTAATTACCTAAATTTAATCTGACGGAACATCTCAAACACAGTGTACCAGGTGGCGCTAGTGACATACCCAAAACTTACCAACGTTTACGTTCGATAACATTTTAAATTTTTATGTCAAGAACTGGAGCAGCGCCATCTGAAACTTTTGAGGAATGCGCATGCGCTCAATGAACCAGAGAAGGATAATGTATGTAACCATCAACGGGAGAACATCTTCTCATTATCATAACTAAAAATAAAGTTGTTTGTTATTGTTTATCGAATCGTTTAATCAACATCCATCGAATTGACAACAAGAACCATGTTATTATTGAAACGTAGGAATAAAGAAAAAACTAGGCGAGAACAAGAATAAGAGAATAAATAAGAGGATTCTTTTTTGATATTGATGTTAGTTGATAAGATGGGATGTTTTGTTATTATCTCTTCGTGTTGAAAAATATCTATTGTTTGGATGATGTACTAAAATAATAGCTATCATTAGCAACCTTGTAATGATAAACTTTGAATATTGTTGTAGTAAGAAACGATATTTTGTCTTTAAAATTAATCAAAACAATGCACTAATTATTTACCCAATAAAACAATATTAACTTAAAATTTCTTTGTTCCCTTAAGTGCTTGCTTTGATTTCATTATTTTAATCGATAAATAAAGATTCATGAAGAATTGCTGAAAACTTTTATAACATATAAAAATATGAATAAATTAGGTTTAAAATTTGTTTGGTATTTTTTAGTTAAAATTGAGCGACATTAATAGTTTTTTTACATAACAAATTATATTTTATATTTCTGAGTAAATTCCTCGTTGCCATTTTCCAGATAAAACCAGAAATTATGATTCAGTATAGCTGCCAGCTTAAACAAATAGAGCTTTAATTGTCTACCAGAGCAATATTGCTTTTGCGACGATCTATTCTAGAGTATATTAACATAGCCTTATATGTATTGGGAGTACAAATTAGTTCGATCCGTTTTTTGAAGGTCAAAAAAGCATTTATTTCAGAACAAAATGAATGAACAGATCAATCAAAGTATTGTCCATCGGTAGCTACTACTTTTTCCCACCTCTCAGGCAACTTTCGAATTTCATCTTGAAAAAATGTCTCGTCTTTTGATGCGATCCAAGTTATCAGCCAATTTTCGGTTTCTGAGAAGGAAGTAAACTGGTGACCCACCAAATCGTGCTGCATCCTTTGAAACAACCTGTAATCAGAAAGAGAAATGTCCAGCAAATGCAGCGGGTGTGGTAAAATATCCCACTTGAGCGTTTCCAAATAATTTTTTACGACATCAGGCCGACCGTTATCATGCAGAAGAATAATTTTGTCATGTATTTGCTCGTATTGCCGTTTTTCTCGCAAAGCACGACTCAAACGAATCAATTGTAGCCTATACCAATCGCCCGTAATGGAATTGCCAGGTTGTAGCAGCTCATAGTATACAACAACATTCACCATTCTTCATTCATCATTCACCATTCTTGAAACGTCGAAACCATTCCCAACATGATTTATCAGTTGGAGCATTGTCACCATAAACTTAAACAAGCATTCGATGCACTTCAGCTGCACTTTTCTTCCAATTGAAGCAGAAACATAAAACCTCCCGCAAATGCTGCTTAGTTACCATAAAATTTGACATATTCAACAAAGTAAAAAACAGGGTTTTTGTATGAAACTCAAAGCGCTATAAACTGAATATTATTGACAGATGTCTAACCTCTTTGAAACCACCGAAACCAGCTGTCACTATGAAACATTCATAACAGCCAGAGACATCTCTCAAAAACGGACCGAACTAATTTGTACTCCCAATAACAATGAAATTACTGATCTAGTTCAGCCTTGGTTTTTTCATAAACAATGAAAGATTCAGTTAGTTCAAGATTTCCATACATTGTATGTAAATAAATTCCTTGTCTTTTACCTTTGTAAATAGGAAAATGTTTCTGTATAAAAGTAACGTATAATTTACGTTAGTCGAGAAATTCACGCACCACTTTGCCCAAATTTTAACATATATTATACATCTATGCTGCCTGTGCTGTAATTTTGGCTGGATCTGATCTATGCAAATATGTAGTTTGACAATCTGAAGATGAGTCTTCATTTACAGCAACATCACCGAGAACTCCGCATGTGACCTGCCAAATATTATATAGTGAAACCTACCAAGAATGAAAACCTCTATATAGCGACCTCCTTAATTTACGACCACTTTTGGGAGGCGTTAAAACCACTCCCAGCAACCGGGCACAAGCACTGTAGAAAACAAGGAAAGGGTCAAATAAGGAAACACGAAAAAATATCAAAACAGAAAATATTAACAAAACAAATAAGTAGATTAAAATGTGTTCAAAATCTTTGGCTCTTATTTTGAGAACTCTTTTTAATATCATAGAGATCTACAACCTCATGTTGCAGTTAAAGTGCACTTAAGATGATGCTACCAAGAATTTTTTTTAGGGTTGTAAGTTAAATTAGAAAAAAAAGTTATTTCAGAAAAAATTAAGCATCTCAAACAAGCAATCCTCTTCTCTTCTTTTATAGCTAACTAATTTTTGAGATATAAAATTAAATGCAATCTTAAA